CTGAACTGTCTTTATCTCAACTGAGGAGTTTTTTCTCACCCATCCCATCGAGGCGGGAGTGAGCGAGTGGCTGTGCAGTGCTGAGCTGAACTTTGGGGTTAAATCTCGGTGGTTGCCTACACACATCAGTCATCAGTGTTAGCAAAAGCTGTTTCATTTAAATATTTAAGGATGAAAAGTGGTTTGTATATACAGCTATGTAGTTTATAGGTCTTTACAAAGGCTTCAGGAAAAAGCCTGCATAGCCAAGGGTTTTTCTGCATGCTTTGTGTAAAGCACTTCTAATCAAATGCAATAAAAGTCAGTTCATGCAGCAAGGTTTTTTGTCCTACCTCTCCTAGCTAGTGGATCTAAGGACTGATTCTCTGCAGTATTTCACAACCACTGTAAATTAAATGTTCATATTTGCTGAGGATCGTGGCTGCAATGCTTAGTGTTAAAAATACACTTTCATATTGTGGTTCTGGCTGTTGTAGCATATATGTTCTATGGCAGACAACTTTCTCGGTGAAAGACACCTATAAAAGACGGTTTCTGCCTAGTTTCATTGTAGCATATGTGGGAATAGATGCTTCAGAGCTTCCAAGTATTCTTCTGACTTGCCCAAAAAAGGACTTTAAGCTATTATCACCTAGAATATATGTAGTCTTTGAATCCAACTCCACATTACATCTCTTTGATCAGCAGCCGTAGCACAGGCATGAAAAGAGAGTTTCCTACCTTTCTGCTATTTGTAAACATAGTCCACAAAACCAGAAGGGGTAGAGATCATCCCACCTTGGGCACTGTGTTTGCTAACAGCTGGGACCATGTTTTCTCAAAAAGATTGCTGGAATGACGTCTTGAATTGCTGAAAAAGTGGTTTAAATGAGAGACACTGGCACCAGGGATGGTCTTCCTTCAGAGATGATTTAAAAGGAAAAGGGCTATCTTAAGTGATGCCTGCCTTACAGCCAAAGGAAATTTCAGATGAACCTGAATAGCTTGAATCTGGTAGGCCAGAGGGGTGACTAATTTCTGGATCAGGTCAGGACTTAGCAACAATGTAGGACATTTCCAGGCTGGTGCAGAAGCAGACCTTAAAAGCCTTCACATGGAAACGCCTATATGTGGCTGTATCTGTGATGAGATCGTATCCAAGTTAGTGTTTTTGTTGTTGTGTTTTGGTCTTGGACATCTAACATATACAAAATCTGTGTTCAAGCACCTCGAATATTGTAATGGAGTTGGTACACTGGAAGTCTTATCTCACAGCTCATTACCTGTTGTGTTACTGCTTTTAGAAAGTTGTTCTCTGCACAGTGAGAGCAGGAGTCCCCCTGTCTGATGCTAGCCATCGAGAAGGCTGAGGACAAATATTCTTCCATTATACCCACAGTTAGGCAACTCTGACAGCATAATGCAAATGAACGATTTATTTACTTGCATTTTTTGTCATATACGAATGCAGGCATAATGTGTTACAAGAATTAACTTTGCTACTTCATCTAAGCAAACAAAGCTGCCTTCTTCCTATGTACATAGGACTTGCCCTTTCTTTCATTTACTTAACATTTTTTTAATTGCATCATTTCTGATTTTTAGCATTTAAACCTTCCCAGATTGTTTCATGCAATCTCTGCTTTATTCTCACATATATATTAAACTGTAAATTAAGATAATCTGTATCTCTCATTTCTATGAACAATGCAAAGATTCTTAAAATACTGACCAGATTTCATCTGAGTTCAAAAGCTCCTTCAGCTGGTCTAATTACCTTTTAAGACTAGCTTCTCTGATTCTCAAGGTGAACTGCCTGCTCTTGCATAAACACACTGTATTTCAGTTCCTCACAGTGTGGGCAATAGCAGTATAGGTGTCAAATACTGGATTGCTGAGAAGCAAGATTTATGCCTCCATTTTGGTATGTGGGTTTTTTTGTTCATTAGTTAGTTTGCTTGTTTGTTTTTTGTTTGTTTATTTAAAGCAACAGCAACATATGGAATTGGTGGTTACAGATCATAACTTTGTCCTTCTGTGTTTGAGAAGCTGGTTATTGGAAGTTAGGACTTCTGAGCACGGTGACAGTTAGTCAAAGAGGACTTAAGGCAGGACTTCCACATATCAATCTGTCTGACCACCAACCATACCATAAACATTGCCATAGTTAGAGTTTTCATAAATTGCCACTGGAAGATATACAAGTTATAATACAACAGCTTTTAAAAGAGATGAGCAAAAAAAGCTAATGGTAATCTTGTATTACCTTACATTAATCAAATAAGCAAACTATGTGGGTGCCATTTTTTCAGAATTTGCTGTACACAAAGGCATTATTTGGCTCAAAATTCTCCTAATCTGCCTCAAGCTTTTCTGTAGTCAGAATTTCAACTGGAAACCACTACTAATATATTTAATAACGAAAAAATCTTAATTTTTTTTTTCTGGGGGGTATTCATTCTAAGAAGTAAATACTTGTTGGGGTTTTTTTTCCTAGCACAATCTTCCCGTTTAAGGCAGTAATTTCTTTTAATTCTTCCTCTGAGAAAATAAAAAAAAAATGTTTTAATAGAATGCTGTATGGTCTTACTGTAATGCAAAAAGGGGCGCTACCCTGCAAAAGCATGCATAGCACATCAGAGTTCAATCAACTACTATTTTCTCCAATCTTTTAAAATTAAGTACAGAATATGCATATTATTGGAGACAGATAAATATGCAAGACTTTGCATTCTCACTAATGATCTGAGTCCTCTTTTGGACTCAGTAAGTAATTAATGCCTTGGATGATGCTGATAACAAGTGATTGCCAAACCACCAGATAGCAGAGACAGTCCAGAAATTGTCCATACACGTGCGTTCTCACCTAATCTTTTGTTAAGGTAACTGGAGAGAAGATACAACAGTAGGTAAATCTTCGTGTCTTTCTTAGCCAGAATCAAAAAAAAAGGTGTTGGGTCAAAATTTTGAGATGCCACCTTTTCAGCTTTTGTAATTCACTTCCTTTTTATATAGGGAGTAAGGTTAAAATTAAATATTCTCCCCACATATGGTTAAAATAGGCTTCAAAAAAGTAAGCCAAAATTTGCTTCCACCCAAACAGGTTTCTACAGATGCAGCAGCATATCTTCAGCTATTATTTCGTTTGCTAAAGGAAAAATGTTGTTTGATAACTACTGATGGAAGAAGGAAAACCAGCACTTGCTCTGAAAGTGGATTATATCAATTTTGTTATTTCATTAAAAAGCAAAACCCACTACATGGTCTTTCTAAAACAATGATTTACATTCTTTAAAATGTTCTTCTCATTATAAAAATTATTCCCGGATGTCTCAAAATCAAGAAGGCAATACATATGCACCTAACTTGCTTGGAGTCGTAGATAAGACTAATCATCTTCCTTAAATATAATTGTTCCTTGATAATAATTAGTTTTCCGTTTATTTAATGTGGCCCTCTCATTCCTCTAATAATAACGATCAAAGCAAGAATTAGTAAGTAATCATGCTACGGTTTAGAAAATCCAGACCAAAAGCACACTTGTTAGGCAGAGAGTATGGGTTATTTAACATCCGCTTCAAATCAGCTTTCTCAGGACAGTATGGGCAAGTCTGGTTCTTGCCAACAACAGAGCAACCATCGATGCAGAATTCATGAAACCTGGTATCAGGTACATTGTTAACAAGCCTTTCAAATATAAACAAGGCCCAGTGCTTAGGTTTGCCCAGTGCAAACCTAATCAAGGCATCAAACAGATAATTTTAATGGCTGATTCTGGACACTGCCTTGTTTTATAATCAAGCAGTTTCAAATGACTTTAAAATAATTCTAAATACTTAAAATATTTGAAGTTGAATCCAATATCCTGAACATCGAGACTGATACTCATATTTTCCAGCTCGCAAGAAGCCAGACTTTTTATGAACTTCAGAAGCAGGATTGTCCCAGCATGTCACATCAAATCATAGAATCATAGAATGGTCTAGGCTGCAAGGGACCTTAGAGATCATCTAGTCCAACCTCCCTGTTTTGGGCAGGGACGCCACCTCTCGACTAGACCAGGCAACACATGGGGACCGAGTGGGAATCGAACCTGCGACCTCGGTGTTGGTCCTTATTGTCAGCACCGTGCTCAAACCACTGAGCTAACCGGCCCCATAAGTGTATGCGATACTTTTCATCTTAGTTTCTGGAATGCAAAATGCTGAATTGTTTGGTACTCCTGAGCATGAGACACTGGAGCTTCTGCCAGGCCATAGGGTATATACGTGCCATCTTTTGAGAAGGGTTCCACATCTGCCTTAAAACCACCCAGCCAACACAGCCCCAGGCACACAGGAGAACATCCTCTGCAGTACGTGGGAGCCTAAATCAGCAGACCTGATCGATAGGTCAGCATGATTGGTCTGATGTACTGATGGGGACCCCCTCACAGGCTGTGCATGAAGTACCAGAAAGGCAGATTTAGACCTGAAGCTGTAAGGTTATGGCCACCCTTGCCTTAGTTTGTCTGTCAAAAAGCTGTGTGGCCTCGGCCTCTATAACAGAACTGAAATAGCTTTCATGCTCCTACTTACAATTTTGTGTTATGTTGTTTCTGAATGTGGTTTTTGGTTCCTTTTTTTTTCTTGGTATTTACTGCCGTTGTTATTGTTTTTTAATTCAGCATAAAAGAGGAGAAAACAGTTCCATAATTACATGGAAAGCATACAAATGATTACAGGACAGCTGGTAGGTATTTTCAATGATTGCTTCTTCATTTGTATCCACAAAAATTTCTCTACCCACAGACTGCACAGATGACATTGTACAAATTTCTTGTTGGTATGCTGCTAATGTAGTAAAACTATCACAATCAAGTTTACAGGGAAAAAAATAAAGAAGCCAAAGAACAACAAAATATTTGCTTAGAGTCAAGGATGCATAAATACATTTTAAGCACCATCAAAGATAAGGACAACACGAACATGGCTACACTTGTCTTAGTTTGCTAGTGCCAGGATGCACACTTATCAAGATAATTAAAACCTCATGCAAAAACTTTAACAACAGTATGTTTGATTTTGCTTAACTTGAACATAAAAGAACTGGGCTGAGGTAATCACCTTACTGGGAAAGGGAAGATAAGAACTATAAAAAGGAAAGGGCAAGAAGAGCCTTTCACAAACTTTTGGGAATTAAGAATCTTTCTTCCTATGGCAATTAGGAAAATTATGCAGTCTCTTGTACATGGGGACCTGCCTGTTAGAAACCCCAAATCAGTCCCTGGCAATTATCACTGGCTACTACTTCATTAAGACTATTCTAATTATGAACCTGACAGGGAGTTCAACAATTTGTCTGTGGCACAAGAATAGCTCTCTTCAAGGAAAAGTGAGACGATCCGGTAGTCCTGGTTCTTATGGACACAGGGGTACAGGAGTTGCAAGGACTGCAAAGCGAGCTCTTGAAAGTTGTATTCAGGATGATGATACATGGCACTTACACCGATGGTGGAAGCCATGTCGTCGGAACAAATCTCTGCAAAGTCTCTTCCCATCAATCCCTAGGACGCTCTGTAAAAAAGCAGAAGTTTTTGTGTGGAGTCATCAGACTCGATCTTGTCATAAAACTGTGAAAGAGTACTCAGGTGAGTTTACTCTTGACTAGAATGGCAGAATGAAATATCAACAAGATTTTTGCTCCAATTAGCTCCTGCTTTCTTCAATTGCAGGTTGAGCTTCATTTTCTTTGGCAGGAGTGGACACTCACACTTGAAGTATCAATATCATAGAAATCATAGAATATTTGGGATGGGAAGGGACCTCTAGTCCCTTCTAGAGGGATAATCTAGAGATCATCAAGTCCAACCACTCTGCCAGAGCAGGATCCCCTAGGGCAGACCACACAGGAATGCATCCAGGTGGGTTTTGAAAGTCTCCAGAGAAGGAGACTCCACAACCTCTCTGGGCAGCCTGTGCCAGGGCTCTGTCACAGTAAAAAAAGTTTTTCCTCATGTTGAGGTGGAACTTCCTATGTTGTAACCTGAACTCATTATTCTTGTTCTATTGCTGGGCATCACTGAGAAGAGATTGTCTCCTTCCACTTGACACCCACCCCTCAGATATTTCTATACATTAATAAGGTCCCCTCTCAGCCATCTCCCTTCAAGGCTAAACAGCCCCAGTTCTCCCAGTGTGGACACAGTATTCCAGGTGTGGTCTCACCAGGGCAGAGTAGAGGGGGAGAAGAACCTCCCTAGACCTGCTGGACACACTTTTCTTAATGCCCCCCTGGATCCCAGTGGCCCTCTTGGCCACAAGGGCACATTGCTGTCCCATGGACAGCTCACTGTCCGCTGGGACTCCAAGGTCTTTCTCAATGGGGCTGCTTTCCAGCAGGACGTCTGTACTGGTGCCAGAATATGTTTGACAGCAAACAGTGTTGAAGGTAGGCTATGAATTGTTTGCGGAGCCACAGCTACTCAGCTCTGTTAAGGAAAGACCAAGCTGACCCATTTTCTTACAGAAAGGGAATTTGCTAGTCTGGCTACTAAATACTCATAAAACTGGAGCTTCTCAACATTATAAAGGGCTTGTCAATTCCGCTGCAACAGGGCACAAAGTAAAAGCCTTTAAAATAGAGCTAACAAATTTTGTAGCTACATCTTTAAAATATGCTGGTGGGGAATTTAACTGGTTAAATAGAATCCCTCAGCAGAATAGAGCTTAACAGTTTTGGTAACACAAGACTGTTAAGTTTCTGCCAAGAATTTTCCATTAGAGCTACGTACTTTGGGGTTAATCAACTATATAATATATGGGCAGTAAATCTGACACTGAAAGGAACAGCTGATTTACGTATGTGCAGTATCTCCAAGACCTCCAAGAAGTGTTGGACTTAGAGCAGATGCATTATGTAGCTGATCCACACGCTCTTGAGGAATCCCTGGAATTTCTGGTCAGTCGGCGCCTCAAGTGAAGTCCAGCACAGTAGCTCTGACTGGGCTGCTAGTCAGACAGAAATCCCGGACAAATATAAAGAAAATTCAAATTCAACCCACGCAAAAATTCTAGCTGGATTAAGATGTTAGGTCGAGAATCATCTGGACGTACAGTGTTGCCTTTGGCAATAGTCAAACTAAAAAGGGAACACCCTAGCAATATTATAGCCTGGTAGAGCAGGAAATAATAATTATCAGAAAAAAATATAATGTGTTCTTTATATGAATGTGCTTATCTATTTTTGTCCTTTACACCAAGCCTTTTTATGTTTCATCTCCCTCAGGTACATAAACAAAGAACTGGGGATTAACCCAGCAGTTAAATTAGGGGATTAAATGAATGAACACAGTGGCTGTATGACGTTTAAGGTTTTTCCCCTTCTCTCTTCACATGACAAACACAATTTGTAAAATGACTAAATATCAAACTTCCGACCAACTACGCAATAATAAAAATGAAGAAGTAAGAGAACCTACAGCTACATAACGTAAAAGGGGTTTCACATGTGGAGGTGGGAGGTGAAGAGACTAGCTAGGAGCAATTTCACTGCAGACAAGTAAAATCTATCAAACAGAAAATTGTAACAGTTGCCAATCCCAACTTAACCTGAAGAATACCTACCAAATAATAAATTAAATCCAAACATGGGAAACATCATGGCTAGATAACCCACAATTCCAATTGCATAACTGAGTTTGTAGATGAGAAGGAATCATTTGTAGATCAACCTATGAATAAAAGAAAGACTACTGAAGACCTTGTTTTGTGGAGTGGTACTAAATCATAGAATCATAGAATGTGTTGGGTTGGAAGGAAAATTTTAAGTCCGTTTAGTTCAACCCTTCTGCAATGAGCAGGGACACCTTTAACTAGATCAGGATGCTCAGAGCCCCATCAAGCCTGACTTTGAGTACCTTTAGGCATGCTACATATGTAGCTTCTGCTGAAGTATTCATATAAATTTAGTGATGGTTTTACACTTCTGTATTTCCTCTCTTACTTAAAGGTGAATAAAAAATGTATAATACAAGAAAAAAACACACAGAAAAAACCCCCAAAGAATTTTTGTTTTGCTTTAGTCTTCACAAAAAATGGTCATTGTGAACAGATTGCTAATGTAATTAAAACTAACCCTTGCAATTGTGAAGGAGGGAAACATAGGCCAGAAAAGGACAAGAACAGGTAAAAAAAACCTGATGTAAATTAGATACAGTCAAGTCAGTAGATCACCAACAAAATTTATCTAAATACTTAAAAGTTAGCAGAAGCAAACTCTGAACCATTAGTAATTGTGTTTGTGAGACCAGGATGCAAAGACAGAGTTTCAGAGGTCTGGAGGAGAAAGAACACAGACCTTTCTTTAGAGAGGCAGAGGGGGCTCTGAGGAATAAACTCAGTGGCGTCCCTGCCCATGACAGGGAGGTTGGACTAGATGACCTCTAAGGTCCTTTCCAGCCTAGGCCATTCTATGATCTCATTAATCCCATTATTTGGTGTATATACCGAATCGATCTCTTCAGGCTCAGTAACACCTGGGATGACTGCTGCTGGTAAGAGTGTGCAGAATGAAAAACCAAGAGGAGACTGATTTAAGGAATTTAATTTTAACTCATGTTTAATTCTTTTTTATTTTCATGTCATGTTTGATAAACACTAGTTTATAGAAACTGATATCGCAGCTGAAAGATGCCTTCAAATTCATCTGCTAATGGCCCTTTTTCTAATGTGTGAAGAGTTGTTCCAGAGGAAATCTGCTCTTCTCTTTCTACAGGCTTCGTTTAAGAAACAATATCTAAAAAACCAAAATGAAAGCAAAACCAGCAAAAAAGAGTCTTGCAGGTTGCTCTGAAAGTGGCATAACTGGTAACACCTGAGAGCGTTCCCCCCATGGGCAGGGATATCCACCACTAGACTCTGATGGTGAAATATAGAGGAACAACCCACATCTGCAGCAGTGTGACTTACAGCTGGCAAAACTGAGACAGTAATTTCAAAGTAATGACATCCTGGGTTTCCATTTTGCATGGTGAGGTTTGATTAACTGCTTGCCAAACTGTAAAACTTGTACAAAAAAAAAGTGACTTCTACAGCATTTGACAAATGAGGGCATTTGACATTAGAGTATTAGTGTCCGTCTGCCTCGTACCCAGTAAATAATTAGTAATCCCATTATAGCAAGTGAGATACAACTCATTAGACTTCCCATATCCTATCCTAAAAAAATAAATTATCTGTTGATAGAATTAATGCTCTTGAAAAAAAAACTTTTTTTTTTTTCCTAACTCAAATTATATATGATGACTGCAGGGCTAAAGCTTTGGGAGCAACTTTTCTAAAATTGATTGAGGCAGTTTGGCCTTTAAGCCTTAGAGCTGCTCTTAAAAACCTTCAGAAAGGCACATTTGGCTTCATTAAATTGGGGTGCCACTCAGCTATATAACTACACTACTGACAGTTTTTCTTAAAACCTCTTTCTACAGCAGAACAAAGTGCTATGGCTTAAACTGTTGTCTTGTTTCTAAATTATGTCAAACTTAATAGATGTATTTGCCTGAATTGCCCACAGTGATAAAATAGTCTACTTCTTTTCCAACAGGCAGATATTTGAAAACCACTGAAGAGTCAAAAGCCCTGTAATGTCATTTCTTTCTGGGATCACATTAATAAACCATGGATTTGAGATCGTGGAAGCCTGATGATGACAAAGGTAAATTAAGACTGACTTTAATATCTGTTCGTGGAGTTAGCTCCTGCACCTTTACAGAAAGATTATTGAAAATAAAAAAAAAAATCGGATAGGAGATGTTTTTCAAATTTATGTTTACTTTGTGGTAGGGAGGATTTTCTAAAAGCGAACAAGAAGCACAACCCATCAAGAGTGAAAATCTGTTTCTATGGAAGAAGAATCTCCTTCCTTAGCCCTAAATGTGGAATTCTGAAGGAATGTGTGTCATTCTCTGTGAAACCTAACACAGTTTTGCCACAGATCTCAACCAAAGGAAGACTGGATTCTTCTTCTCCTAAGAAAAAGAAGAAACTCTTAAAAAAAAAACCCCAAACCCCCAAACCCCAGAAAGAATGCAGCTATTGAAGAAGCTGGTACTTCACAATGTAAGGTTATATCAAATGACAGATAGGAACATCTGTAGAAGATAATGACATGACATCTTTAGATCACATCGCTGTTGCGTGCTTTTCCACCCTGCAGCCCTGGTTTTACGGACTGCGGTTTGCTGTTTGTGACCATAAAACTGACCCAGCAACTTGTGTGCCACACGGCCCTCCTGGCGTGCCACAGGTCAGTGGTCCCTACACATCCATGATCATGGAGCCTGAGGTCTTGTGGCCTTCACTGAAGGCCACCAAAGGCTCCTTGTTTCCTGCCTGCCTGCCTTGCTACTGTCCAGCATGACTCCTCTCCAATGTGCTTACATACTGTGGTTTGCTATTTTTTTTTTAGTAGACTCGAAGTCTGAACTAAGTAGCAAAGCCAAAACTGAACGGGCACACACCTTCAGTAAAGTAGCTACTTCTTCTAATACAAATCTATGACAGAACTTTTTTATCATGTTAGCTGCAAAATGAAATGCTAGTTAATTAAAGAATGGTAACACAACCTTCTCTCTCAGGTGATGCTGTTATCACATCAATTGCTGTTATCAGACCAATTGATTACTGCAAACAAAACTATTCAGTAATTGTTTGAAATTTCCTTATTGATTTCTATGTCTCGCAGACTGTTAATTTTAAGACTACTAGCCTCTACATGACTTGCAGGAGAGTTTTGTCATGTAAATGAGGACAAAGATAGGAATTGAAGCATAAAAATGAAAACCCTGCTATCGATTTATTATTAATACTGGAAGGTCACCATCTGGACAATTCCATAAAATAATAATACATCTGCATTGCTGCTAAATGGGAGCTTTAACATCTGGATCATATTATTCCAAATTTTCCTCGTCCACCCATCATAGCAAGAGGAATTTCCTGACAAATCAGATTGCTGCCCAAAGGTACAATGTTTTTCTCATTACCATACTTTAAATGAGCTCAAAAAGACCTAGAAGTGAAGTTAGCATCAGCGTCATAGACAACTTTCCCATTTTCTAATTATGCAGATTAAATAGGTCACACAAGCGCCGACTGAAAAATGTCCATCTGCCCTTTGCTTCCCTCACAATGCCCCCCCACTCCGAGCGAGTAAGAATGCCTATCACCAGCAAATTCAACAAGAAGAGTATTATTCCACTATGCTTTCCATCCTATAGCATATGGTGAAAACTGCATACATAAAGAAAATAACTGTAATATATAGATTTATTGTGACAGGCTGACCTTACCAGAACTTGTTAACTTGGCAACGCAAGCTAACTAGCTCTCTAAAAAATCTAGTTTCTTTTGATGTAGACATATTCAAATACTCAAAAACATATGCATAGAAGAAATAAATCAGCTGTTTGGGTTTTTTTAGGGTTTAAATTAATATACTTGAATGTACGTTGGAAATTGGCAAGGTTTTCTATATTAAGTAAATCAACGAACCTTATTTTCAAGATTTGCCTCATTACTCAGGGATGGAAACCAGCACTGTCATAACTATGCTGCTTCATTTTCCAACTATATTCCAAAGTATCATGAGTGCCATGTGATACAAGATATATAATCAGTAAAATGGGCAACCACCTACAGGACAAGAAATAAGGCTTTTGCATTTGAGATTTTTCTGAGATAATGACAAATCTGCCTTTCTATCTCAGATGTTTTAAGATTTCTATTATGCCCAGGGAGAACAATTTTGTCCAGATATATCGTATTATTTAATTTGCATCAATGGACAGCTTCCAATAGCAAGAAAATTGTGTTATAAGAGTCAGTTGAGTACTTGATAGTCAGAATTTCCTTTGGGAAAATACAGAGTCAAAACACTAATAAGCTTTTTTTTCTCTTCCTTCCATATTTGATATGCAAGGCTCCTGCCTTTATGTTGAGAAAAATAGGTGGGGTAGGCTGGGACAAGACAGGAATGTTTTTTCAAGAATGGTAATTCTCCGATTAACATTCTTCGTTGCCACCCCACATCCCAGAGCACATAACACAGTTGCAAGCACATAATTGCCTGCATCTCGTCGAGTCAGAGGAGTGCAAAATTTGCGAATGAAATGAAGAAATGAGCGTGTTATCTGAACAAAGATGATTGAAAATTACTTGAGTCAGAGGAGTGCAAAATTTGTGAATGAAATGAAGAAATGAGCATGTTATCTGAACAAAGATGATTGAAAATTACTTCTTGTACAACATGAATTAGCAAGCTCCGTATTTATTTTTTGAAATCTCAAATAACGACAGCAAAATCTCAAAAGTAACTGAGAAATTATCATAATTTTGCTAATTTTCTTTCTCATCACCTGGAAGTTAACTCCAAACTGTTAGCTACCATCTAGAAGCCAAAACAAAATTGTCAGAGTGGCCTATGTTTTACTTCAGGCCAAGACCTAATAGAAAAATCTCTTCCATACATACACACACACAAATTTATCTATCTCTCTATTTATTTATTTATTCATTCATTCATTCATGTTTTCTATTTATTATCTCTTTATTTATTTGTTTGTTTATTTTTTTTTAAATTGCCAAAACTGTCCACAGCTGAGCCTTGTTTGCTTCGCTGCAACTTTTTTTGCTCTTTTTTTGAAACACGAGCCTTCCTTGGCATGTTTTTTTAATT